TTCATATCTTCTCCAGTCTTCCAAGGATGCTATTTATAGCTGGATTGGATAATCTATCCGTTGAATCATAATAGACTATCCGTTGCATTTGCTGGCTTCAATTTTGAATGAAGATTGTGATTTGAAGATTCTTCGTTGAAGTGGGTGTTTGGACATACCCAATTGTTTGAGAAGTGATTCCATTTTTCTCAGAATCCGTCTTCTAGCTGTTGTTCAAGAATTCTGAACTGTAGCACTTTACTCTGTTTGTCTTCTTGTGCTTGTTTAGGAATTCTGGACAGGCTCTTCAATTTAGAGGGCCAGACTTTGTCTTCGAGTCATTTGTTCTTGAATCAGCATAATTATCTTCAATCTAGCCGTTGAAAATCAAGAGATTGATTTTTCCTTACCAACGGGTAGAATTTCTTCATTCAGGACTTAGATAATTTTTCTAAGTCTTTTCTCACTTGTCCGCTTTCTGAGAATTCCGGTCTTCAGTGAGTCTTCCAATTCTTAGCTGACAAATCCGGATGAGTCATTTTCAGACTTCCGGGTGAGAAAGAGATCCGCGCTAGTCTTCCGATTTGGATGACTTAGCCTTCAGCGGGTTGTAGCGAGACATCCGGTTCTTATGTAGTCTTCTGGATCTGAGGATTTACATCTGATTGAGAAATCCTTACTTGTCTCTGACATTTCCAAACAAGATATCCAATTTCCATATCACTGAATTTGATTAAGTCTTCAGGCATCAAAACGCTTAAGGAAATATCACAGCTTTATTGGAAATCTCAAGAGCTCGGTTTTGACAATATTTCTAAAAAGAAAAATTACATTGAATAATGGGGGAGACCTAAAGTCCCTATTACATTCTAAATACATCATCATCAAAATCTATAATATTTTTCCCAACAGATACTAAACCTAATCCCAAAGGGATTCGGTTTCCTTCTTCAACCCTGCTTCCTTCTTCTGTCTCTAACACGTTCCTTCTTCAATCTCGCTTCCTTCTTCTATCTCTAACCATTGTGCTTATAGGCTATATATGTTTTCGCTTCTTTTAGTAGAAAACAAAAGTTGGTAAACCATGGTGGGTAGCTAAGGTAAATGTCTTTTTGATATTCTCTTATACATGGTGGAATCAAGGAACAAAGTTCCCCTAAAAAGAATGATGAATTGAGGATGCTAAAATGAATGTACACATCACAAAAAGAACATCAACATGGTCGTATCATTATATAAGAGATTAGTATATTTAGAGTGAGGAGCACATCATATCAATGGAGCTAAAATTGTCATTTTTTTCATTGTTCTAGCTTTGGGTTAGTAATGGACCAAATCAAAATGACATGTTGAACTTTCCTTGCCTCTTATGTACTAACTACATCTGGGGAAAATTCATGAGGCAGAAACACATCAGAGATGGCCTTTTCTCTCCAAAGATCTATGACTTAAAGCACTTGGAAAGCTATTTGTAAAATCACCCCTCTAGTCCTTCCACAGTGCAGATTTCATGATGATGGGGTAGTATGGTCATCAGGGACTTGCAGTTTCAAATCTCCCTACTCTCTAACTTTTGAACACAAGCCAAAAATGTACACATGTGTCTACATCTAGGACAAGAGGCAAATGGGAAAAATCAGCATGTTCCTATGGCGCTTTTTCAACAACCTACTGCCTTTCCCAAGGAACCTTCATAGAATGGGAATCATGAAAGATATACAATGTCCTTTTTGCATGGAGATGAATGTCGATGTCCATCATATTTTCCTTAGCTGCTCAACCATATCACCTATTTGGCAAGTATATTCTTTGGCTGTCAATGCACTTACGGCAAGAGGAAACTGAATGATACGGATAATTAATTATGATATTTTAGTTAGTTATATTATTATCTAGTAGTTATTAATTATTATTTCTTGATGGCTTAGGGTTTTATTATGGGCCCGAGCCCATTAGGTCAATTAGGTTATCTCCATTCTTTATATACTGTAATCCTTCGTTATTATTATTCAATCAATCAATAATCAAGAATTCTCTTAATCTCGTTCTCTCTTCTCTGGAGTCCGGAAACGCTCGAAGTTTTCCATTTGGAGCTTGAAGACGCTCGAAGTTCTTCCTATCCGATACCCTTTTCGTATCAAAGTTCTCTCGTTGAGAGAAATCCCCAAAAAAACAAAACAAAAAATCAAAGAAGTCGTCATCTAGCAGTGAACCATTAAAGTGGAGTTCCAAGGCTTGCCGCCGGCCTACCTCAAACCAGATCGCCGCCGTTAGATCGCGTGGTTCCGCCCCAAATCGCATGTTGCCCTGTTCTACCGCCGCCGGAAACCCATCTCCACCACCAGCCGCCTTGCAGATTGAAACTCTCATCGGCAAAGACAGCAACATCGGCATCTCCCTGCTGAAATCACGCCGTTGTCTCCACCAAATAGCTTTGCTGCTGACTAGATCTGCCTCAATTGTGGGCTAATTGATTCAATTAGCCACTGCCTTCAAGAGAAGGAAAAAAAGGGATCACTAAGACAAAATTTGGAAATTAGCAACATTGAGGAGTGCCGCAATGACCCATGCATCATCCACTTGTAAAGATCTCTGCACCCAGGTTTGTGATATTGGCCAGGTGTTCGTGCAGGTGCAAAAAGTAATGGAAGATCGATTTGATCGGATAGATGTCGCGTTGTCGGAAATTCAAACTCACTTGGCAAAGTCTTCGGTCGGTAGCGTTAACGAAGTCACACATACACCCAAGCTGGAGATGCCCAGGAGTGATGGCTCCAAACCCGTGCGTTGGTTGCACTTGATAAAAGAATACTTTGCTTATTATAAAATCCCCTTAAAGGATCGTTTGAAATGTGTGACCTCGATGTTGGAAGGGGCCGTTGCAGATTGGTTCCGTTGGCGTATGAATTACGGGCTAATTATCGATTGGGATGAGGGATCTGAGAAATTGAGTGCTGGAGCACACGTCGAGGATGACATATACAGTGGGTCTGATGTCATGGGGAAAGAGGGGGATACCCTTGGTGGAGAAGATGAAGCGAACTACAAGCTCGAGTGTACACCTTTTGCCGGAGACGTCGCAAAGGGCCAAACATTTAATTGTATCATCGACCCAAATAGTCAACACCCTCTTTCTTTAGTTTGGTCTCGCACAATCAGGATGTCTCCCTACCCCCATATCATCAAGTGGGAGAATCGGGATTTGAAGGGAGCTGCTAGACATGTTATTTTTGGGTCTCACCCATATTTCCCACACTGCGCCCCAAAAGTCAAGCTGGGTAAAGATTGGTCAACAAGTGCACATCTTTTGTTCATCACTTTGTCACCTATCCAAAAACATGAGTGGAAACCTCCACCTTGGGCTGTTCATTTACGTGGATACATACATACATCCATACATACGTACGTACGTACATACATACATACATACATACATACATACATACATACATACATACATACATACATACCTACCTACCTACGTACGTACGTACGTACGTACATACATACATACATACATACATACATACATACATACATACATACATACATACATATATGTGTGTGTGTGTGAGTTAGAAATGATTTATGTTAGGAAATATGAAAAGTTGTTTATTCAAATGACCATAATATATTTAATCAAATAGTTAGTGGATGAAGTAAACACTTCAGAGTTAATAATATAATGACATATCGTGACCAGGTATTGTCATGTTTTGCCAAGTGAATGAATAATAATAATAATAATAATAATAATAATAAAATATTATTATTAATAATAAAATATAACGACATACCCTGAGTTAATAATAATAATAATAATAATAATAATACAGGGTAATTAAAATAATAATAATAATCATAATTATATTAATAATAATAATAGTAATAACAATAATATTAACAATGATTAAGTACTCTAGCTAATTATTTAATCATATGTAATGTTATTATTACTATTATTTAATTGTGTATAACATTATAATAGTAATATTAGTACATTATATGCAATGTTAAGTAGTGTAACATAAATTAATTAAATAACAATTATTAGATAATACTCCGCGGTGGATAAAGTATTAGCATTATTTTACAAAATTTTCTCGATTTTCTAATTTAATCTAAAAAGATTGCATGATTTGATCTGATTATATATGATCTGATCTAATTTTAATAAGAATAAGTAATAAATTGAAAAAACATAAATTGTGATTCAATCCATACAGCAATAAAAAAATTCGAGCAGAAAAACGTAAGATTCACTCATTCCAATTACATTTCCAGTCTGGTATCCAAACAACCATCTCATAGAACTGAATACATACCTATATAAAGCCTAAATGTACAATTCATGGACTCCATAAATTATTACTCCGTATTTTTTTAAGTGTGTATCCTTTCAAAACCCAGAAGTTGATCTAGTCTACCCTGGCATAGACAGAAATGCTTACTTAGACAGATCTCTAACTACATCTGAATCCTGGGTGTATGCTGCAAAGGAAATCAAAGAAAGCACTTCTCCAACGAATGAAGACCATAGAGTGGCACAGAAGATTGGCACATACAGAACTTAAAAAGGACAGAGACAAGCCTTTGTTTGGCACGTAAAGCCTTTATATATCACACCGCCCAAGTCTTACCTTCCCTGAACAAGACCACTGA